TACATATATATGTATATTATATACTTCGAAGAGAATTTTTTGCCCAAGTATTAGCGTTTGTACTGTCGTAAATCGTCAATAAATAAGCGTGAGGAGATGGATCGCGTGGTGTGGGATGTGGGACGAGCGAGAACTCAAAAAGACAACAGAGGCGGGACACGTTGTACTATGATCCAAGTTTTATTAAACAAATTAAATACAAAAGATTTTTTTCTGTTGCTGTACGCGTTATAATCGAATATCTCAGGGTTATAAATAATTAAAACAACAGAAAGAACGAGGCGGAGTATGTGTATATAAATTAAAAAAAAAATTAAAAAGAAATGGGAAAGAGACGATGAGCGGAAGAGAAGGTGCGGGTACGTTTTGAATTGACACCTGCCGAACAGTGGACATTCTCGTGCACGTTTCCTCTGATCACGAGCCAAATGATATTTTTTTCGGAAGGGAGAAAAGCAGAATTTTTCACTAACGCGCCCAGACTCTCCTAATTCGAAATTAAAGAATGCAGCCAAATAGATATTCGGTATGTTCCTTCAATCCGATTAGGAAAATAAAGGGTTGAAATAGATAAATGAAAGATCTCGCTGAAAACAAATATATGTTTTATTTTACACCGATTTCCTGTCTCAAAGTTTTAGGATTCCAAAGGTTCCAAATTCAAAAGTTTTTAATTTAAAAAAATATGAAAATGTTAGAATTTTGCGGCGTTTGAAAACTTACTATTTCTACTTTCTAGTGGACAAAATACCGGAAATCATAGTAATCTAATTTTGGTGCAATATATTGTCATACATAATTGACATTTTTTAAAATACATATAAATTATTTTTGTACGCTCAAACTAACAGATTTAAGTATTATTTATTGTTTTTGTACACGAGGAATCGATTGATGACACTTTCATTGCCAAAAATCAATCAAAAATACAAAAAATTCAATTTAAAATTTATTCACTTGTATTTCCAGTTTTTTATTGATATTTTGATAACGATTTTTTATCCACTGGAAAGTAGAAGTCATAAACTCTCAAACAAATCCTTGTATGCCGCAAAACTCCATTATTTTCATATTTTTTAAAACTTAGAAACTGTTTTGAATTTGGAACCTTTGGAAATCTATAACTTTGGGACGAAAAATCGATGGAAAATAAAACATATATTTGTTTCCAAATCTTTTACATTTGGTACTTATTTCAAAATCTTATTTTTTCTTAGCTAAATTGGAGGAATATTTTAGCCGCACTCTTTATACGGCTGCGCTAAAATTGTACGACGCTGCGCGCCGGCACGCGGGTAAAACTCGAATTTTCACCGGGAAATTTCCTGTTCACGCGGCGCGCGCGAATCATCTTGTGGTCATGTGCGCGAGATAATCCGCGAGCAAATCGCGTGCACTTAGTGCACGATATTCGCGTGAAAGAATTTATCGTCTCATTGAAGACTGCTCGCGCGCGTACGAGAGACTGTTGGGGTTGCAGGAGCGATCGCGACGAGCCGGAAAAGAAAAGAGAATACCGCAGAGTCCAGAAAACCCTCGACATTCCGCTCAAAGTGTCGTAAATGCGTAGACATGGAATGACGTAGAGCCTGGTGCGCCTACGACACGTGAAAAGATGGCGGAGGGGGGATGGGGAAACAAACGCAAAGATAGAAGGTCGATCAGAGAGTAGGAACCGAAAGAAAAGGGTAAAGAAAACGATTCGCTGGATTTTGATGCTGCATTACGAAGATTACTTAATTATCTGATAGATACGCTTAAAAATTTCCTCGAGAACGTTGGATATTAATATTCAAAGATTTCAAGGTTGTTAGGATATGTACAAAGAGATATATAATATGAATATCAAGTAAATATATTGAATCTCCGTCCCGAAGGACCGAGCTGGATCACATTTCCTCCCGCTCCTTCGGGATCACTGGACACTACACGTCGAGGAGTAACACAGTCTTCGTGGATGTCGGGATTGGTCTTTTAATGATAAGAAATAAACGAGGCGAACAGTCGAGATGAGAAAAAGAGGGATGATATCGATGACACTCTTAGACGACAGTTCATCAAATGAACTTTCACTGAATGAACGTTTAGTTTCGTTTTGTTAACGTTCGTTAAACGCGCAGATCTCGCTCCTTTTTGCGATGGTTAAACGTGTACTCAGAGAAGAGGACGTAGTAGTAACAACTACATGAATTTTGTGTGCACAATTAATGTATATAGCTAAATAAACTATTTTATAGTTATATCGCTATTAAAACTGGACGGTTACAGCGACTACAGTTACTATATAGTTCTCGCAACCACTCAGTTTTAGTTTCAACAACCAGAAAATAGTTGGTTAAATGTAATAGTTTTTATAACAGCCATGTAATAGTTGATTAACATACAAAACTCGTATATAGTTGTCATCCATATACACTGTACACTGAGAAAAAGGTACTTGAACACCTGTTTGTGAGATATAAAATTAACTCACAGAGAGAAATAAACTTTATCTCACAGAAATAAACTTTATGCTCTACAAATAAATTTTCAAAATATTCTTTCCTCAGTCATCATGTCATTACCACCGTGTCTCTTACTTTCTCTCTCTTTCTCTCTTTCTCCGTGTGTTTTATTTAACGCGCAAAGCATGTCGTGGGAGTGGAAACACGGCGAGATAAAGTTTGGAATGTAATTAATGGTGGAGATCCGAGTATCCAAAGAAGTACTGTGTTGACTCTCTCCCTCACTTTCTCTCTCGTATTTGCATGCATACTCGTATACATTCACACCCTCTCATTCTCCCTTATACTATCTCTCTCTCTCGCGCGCGCTCTCTCTCTCTCTCTTTCTCTCTTCGCATACTTGGCAATCGCAAAAACGGTGCCCGGGTAATTAGGCCCTCTTTGCTAACGCGTCGATATATATCGTGCACGCAAATTATAGTTTCTTTAATACTTGTAAAAGGATTCAAGTCTTGCGTGTAAGTGAACAAGAGCGTGTGTGTGTGTGTGTGTGTGTGTGTGTGTGTGTGTGTGTGTGTGTGTGTGTGTGTGTGTGTGTGTGTGTGTGTGTGTGTGTGTGTGTTGTGTGTGTATGTGTGTGTGTGTGTATGTATACACTTGGCTTCGATGCGGTTTGGACTTGGTTTTTTCTCGACGCAGTTTGCAGTTCGGCCAACGGTCTAATGAGAGAGCTCAACTTCCGTGAACTGATCGAAAACAAGCTCTCACTGGACCGTCGGCAAGGTTTCAAGCTGCATCGAGAAGAGCTGTCTCAGTAGTCAAATAGCGAAGCCAAGTGTACACAATAGACATGAATAAACTTACAATAATAAAATTGCTCTCGTACCGTACCGACGTGTAAAGAGAGTAGCGAAGAACTTTGTCTCCTCTTTTCGTCTCGCTTCTTTTGCCCTTGCCCTCGGATCCTACGAGACACGACCTGAAGAAGTTTTCGTCACGCGTGTCGCGGATAACACGAGTAAAAACTAAGAGTACCGAGATATTGATAAAAGATAACGAAGGATATCGATGACAACGTCGCGTAAAGCATCGAACTAAAGACCGAAACTAGGGGAGGAAATAATAACTTACTTGAGAGCTAAAATTCATTACGCGTTCCGTAAAAATGATTATTACACGAAGAACGCGAAGCTTACAATGACGCGCGATAACTCGCGCGCTTGGCAAATCCGCGTTCTTACGAGAAAAGAAAAGCAACAGTCTCGATCGCGACCCCCTTCTCCTCTGAGCGCGATTCGTCCTCGAGAAACAACCCTGTTGTACTCGACTACGTTAAAATCCGGCAACGAGAAACGCGTAAAATCGTCAGCTTCTCTCGTAAAAATTGAAATCGCCCGCGAATCGGAGCGAGAAAGAGTGACGGACAAAAATCTTCTCTAAAAGCTCAAGGAACTTAAATAAAAGAGAAAAATTAAACACATTATTAAACCGCTCAACGCGTAACGCAAAGACGAAGTCTAAAACGACCATACGTGTGGCTCCAATTGTTCCTATCGATAAAGAGACAAGTTTCCTTCTTCTTTTTTTTTTGTTTACTTTTAGTTCTTTCCCAAATCTGTGCAATGCCGGGGGTGGGTGAGAACTCTAGTTTGGCGTTGGACACGAGAGTCAAATCGTATTCGAATGTTCCGCATTACTTCTTCTTTTCCT